GCCCCCCCCCCCCCCAGCCTCCATTGCACAGTGATGGGACACAGTGACGTGGCAGAAGGGGCACACGCCCAGTGCCAGCCTGGGGCTGAGCTGGGGTCTCTGGTCAGCACAGTCCATACGAAGGACCCGGGGCACGGGCTGAGGGCACCCCCTGTGCCATGGCCCCCCCCGAGCACCCACAGTCTCCACCCTCCCCCGCAGTGGCTCCAGGAGGATGGGGGTGAAAAGGAGAGAGAAGCGTGAGTCTGGCACTGGTGACACTGGGACGGGACAAGGGGGCTGCTGGCACAGTGCTTGGGTATCAATGGATCCACCCAGCTCCCCGGGAGAAAGCAGGAGGCTCCCGCGGCGGATGGCAGTGCAATGAGCGTGCAGGTCCTCTGCAGCACAGGGTACAGCCTTGGGAAGGATTTGGGAACGCGCTCCTTCCACCTGTAAACACGGCACCTGGGGGAGCCGAGCGGCCCCCCGTCCCGGGGCGGGACCCCCGGTAGGGGGTCACTCCTCCTCCCCGGCCAGCAGGAAGCTGCAGAGGAAGCCCCGCTGGCGTTCCTGCTGGCTCTGCTTGCCCTGCAGGTTGGGCGGGGGGCGCAGGAGGAGGCTGGAGAACAAGGCGGCTGCAGGGGGAGGAAAAAGAGCTCCTGGTGAGGAACGGAGACCCTGGCGGGCACCGGGAGGGGGAGACGCTCCCGCGGGAGCGACGCAGGGAAAGGACCCGCTCACCGATCATGGCGACGCTGACGTTGTTGTCCTCTGAGTGCTTGAGCAGCTCTCGGAGGAACGAGATCAGGTAGTGAAAGACGCTGCGATGGCAACGAGGCAGCTGGGAAATCACCTGCAAGGCAAAGGGACAGGCAGCTCAGCCGGGGCTGCAGGCAGCCCTGCCCCTTCCCCGGGGTCCCTGCGTGACCCCCTGAGCGAGACACGAGCCCAGAGACACAGCAGAGGTCCCGGGAGCCAGGCAGAGCTCTCAGCAGCGGGGGGAGCTGCAGAGCCTGAGGGACGGGCACCCCCTCACCTGCCGGCAGAGCCGCCTGCTGTGGGAGCACTCCAGGCACCGCTGGTACAGCTCGTAGCAGACCACGGGCTCGGGCAGAGCCTCCAGGAAGATGAGGAGGGCTTCTGCCACGGAGTGGTTACTGCCCGCTGGAGCGGTGGGAATCAAGGGGCACACTGAGCCTACAGACCCCTTCCCTCCCCAGGCTGCTCCTGCCTCTCCCCCTTCAGCTGCCCAGGCTCTGCTTCCTCCTTGTGGGTCTTGCACGTTCTCCACATGCCTAACTGCTCCCTCCTCCTCCTCTGCGGTCCCAGTCCATGGAAAATACTGTTCCACCCACCCTGCACTGCCTTTGCCCACCCTCTAGCCCCACAGAAGTCCTCTGCTCCATTAGCCCCTTCTCCAGACCACGCCCTTGGGAAAGTGAGGCACAGCAAGGATACGGATTTTCTCAGGGATACTGGTGTCCAGGCAGTCAATGATCTGCTCCAACTCTTCCTGCATGCCTGGAGTTTGGAACAGGTCCTCCTGCCAAAAACAGCACAGGGATGGACAATGTCACCTTCTTCACAAAGTCTGAGGCACACAGTGACAGCAGCGTGAAAGCTGGTACCCCCAGCCAGTGCCTCAAGCACAGGGAAAGGCCTGTCCTATAAATACCACACTGGAGCTGATCTCCAGCTGCTGCTGAAGCAGGTCACCAAGCTCTCCAGAGCTTCCCAGTATGGCAGAGGCCTCTCCCTCACCTGGTGGCAGCCATGCTTGAACAGGTGGTCCACCAATAGCCAGATCTCCTTTGGCACCTGCAGTGGCATCTCACTTGGATCCCCAGTGTCCAGGGAGCCCATCTGCAGAAGGGATTTCTCCTGGTGGCAAAGAGCACACAAAGTCTCAGCAATACCTCAGTCCCTCTGGAAAGGCCTTGGTAAAGAAAGCCTGGAGAGGGGAAGAAGCAGGACCCAGGACTCACCTGGCCCTGACTTGCTTTTACAGCCCAGAGCCACCGCTGGTAGGTCCCAGCTCCACTCCCTCCCCCTGCCCCACAGGACAACCTCCTGGTTCACCACCAAACTGCCCAGGCCTCAGCCCCTCCTCAGAGGGGCTCTCCAGCCACACCAGCTCCCACAGGATGGGTGCCTTGCTGTCCAAACCCCAGCTCCCACCCTGCAGCCGACGCTCTGGAGCACAAGGAGTCCTTCTGCTGCATTCACTTCCACATTCAGGTTCCATCCAACCACCGTGCCAGCTCATCCAGCTGATCTCCTCTGGATGCAGAGCCAAGGACATGCCCTCCTGCCTCCTGTGAGCTTGGACCACACCTGCCCTCTGGGCTCTACAACAGCCCCGTTCTCTGAAGTTTCTGCCCTGGTTTTCCTAAGGAGAGGTCCCTGCTGAGCACAGGCTGCCCTGACACCACTGTCACATTTTCCTGCCTACTCACGCAAAGCAGCTGACGAGCCCAAGCGCTCAGAAATCTGTGATGGGATCCATGTTTTCCCTTGATTTTCCTCTCCCTTCTGGCCCTGCGTGCCCCGGGGAGGAAGCCACGCACCGCTCCCCACAGCACAGGCAGCTGAAGCACCAGGGAGAGCGGCAGGAGCACAAGCCCAGGAGCAGCAGGAAGGAGCACCAGCGGCAAAGAGCTCCACCCCAGCTGTGCCCGCTGTCCCTCTGCAGCGCACACGGCGGCCCCTGCCCAGCCGGGGCTGGGCACAGCAGACACCCCCGCCTGGCACGGCAGCAGCAGTTGCCCCCTACAGCCCTGGGTTCGCCCCGGCCAGCAGACACCCAGGGACAGAGGAAGGCTGGGAAGCAGCAGAGAGGGAAGGAAGGCTGGGCAAGCGCGTTCCAGCTCGCCTCTAAGAGGGAAAGGTGGGAGCTGAGGACCCTCTTTGAAAGCAAAGCACTCCCCAGCCCAGGGCACCGCAGCAGCACCGGGTCTGCCAGGCTGCCCTGGGGAGCTGCGGGAGCCCCTCCAGCTGCTTAGAGCAGAGGAGGAGGGGAAGCCCGGAGGCTGAGGAGGAGGAGCTGGGCCTTGGTTCCTGAGCACCGAGCGCCCTCTCCTGCCGCCTGGCAGGAAGGGAGGGCGGCCCGGCCGTGTCCTCCCCGCGGGGAGGAAGGTGCTCTGTGCAAAGGGATGTTCCCAGCCGCCCGGCACC